CCCCCGCGAGCACCTGAAGTGGACGGGATGGCGTCCGGATCTCGATCGCGCCTCCTCTTCCGAGACGTTTTCTTGTGGCGCACCTCCTCCTCGATCTCATCCAGGGTCCCGTCCTCGATTGCCTGAGAACAGAGGGATGGATCAGGAGCGTCCAGCAGAGGAAGACAAGCTGATGAATGAGGCGTCTGTCTGACCTTCAGCCACTGTTTCTCTGTGAGCGAATCCCTGTAATCCACCTCCTTCCTCTGACGGGAGCCGCGGCCGAACATCTTCTCCTCTTCTTCCTCACAGGTGAGTCTTTCCACCTCGGCGTCGTCTTTCATGATCCAGGTGGGCAGCTCGTCCTCCTCCATGAGACGAGGCTTTCGCTTCGGATTGCGTGCTTCCTCGCGGCGGCGATCCAGATCCATGCGCTGCGCAGAAACACAGAGACAGTGGAAGTTAATTTGGATTCGATCTGGATTAAGCGATGATCTGAATTTGTTCCAGCAAACATAAGCGAGAGAAAGTGAAACGAGACCATGAACTGGTCAAACTCGTCTTCACTCCTGGCGATCATCTGATTTACGGTCTCATCGTCCGGCACCTCGTCCTCTTCCTGATGGAGAAACAGATGCAGACAAAAACAGCAAGCAATCAGAAGAGCTTTAGAAGCACAGAAAAGATCCATGACCACGTTTACATGAACACAGAAAATAAGTTCTTGATGCTTCACAATCCTACAGTATTTACATGAAAAAACAACATTCTCTCGCTAAATCCTGGAGATGATCTTATTATTATTATATCATCTTAACGTTATAACACTGTTATTATTAGTGTTGTCACAATACATTTTGACTGGACTAGAACATCTCGATACTAGTACTGAACCGATACCATGACAAAAATTACAAAAAGAAAAGAAAGAAATCTCTCACTTGACCAGTGTTCCTGTCCTGCTTTTTGAGCATTTCCTCCCCCTTAAAACAAAACAAAACATCACATGCCAGTGTCACCACAGGCCTACAGTGAGCAAGTCATGACTGATACAGACGAGCCTGCAGTGTGTGGAGATCTGTGCAGGACTGGTTACTTAGCCGAGGGAAATATGACCAGAATATTACTCTACGCTAGGAGTCATTTTATTTCACAATAACAATTTATATCAGGATATAGTCATTTTTGTTATTAATAATAAGAACATAGATGCAAGTAACAAACAAAAGGATTAATGCAATAAAACAAAGACACAAATGAAATAAACTGTGTTTTTAGGTACAGTAGGTCTGTTTAACAGTAGCATTCAAGAAAGAGATGACACAGAAATTTATCAAAATACAAAAGTAAAGCACTGCATAGTCTTCACTGTAGGAATGAAACATTCAAACATTTATCCTTATTAAAGCTAGTAAAGTTAGTCAAGATCAGTGAGGGATTTTTTGATTAATATTGTAGAGACAGACAGCAGCAGGAATATTAGTCTGCTGTCACGCACCCAATTTATTGATACACACGTTTTCTTTCTCAGCTGTTTAAAAGCAGAGTACCGCGATACCTTTTTAGTACCGGTATCGTGCAACACTAGTTATTATATGTATGCACAAATCCGGCCTCACAAACCCTTAAACCCATCCTTACAGTGATTCACTCTCACTTCTCTTTATGTAAGACGAATCTCCTCCAGAATGTGTGCTTTACGTCTCAAAGCTTTGTTTCTTAGAATCACTTTGTATGAATGTGCAAAATACTGTGCTACAGCTGATATTCTGGATAATTATTCAGGATAATATCGTACGGCACCAGCCTCATTCGGACTTGACTTGAGCAGTTTACATGACGCAGTCATTAATAAAACAAGAACAAATTACATATATATACAGTATATAATATTGGGATATTCTCATTCGCGTAAACGTGGTCAATGTAGAGACTAAACGAGACCGAATGAGAGTCCTGACCTCGTCCTGCTCCTCGTGCTCCAGAATGGCCTGCAGAAACGCTCGGCGCTCGTGGCTCGACGACTTCTGGTCGAACATGCCGGCCTGGATCACCTTCTGGTCCACGTTCAGCTTGTATTTAGCGGCCGCCAGGATCTTCTCCTCGACGCTGTTGACGGTACAGAGCCGCAGAACCCTCACCTCGTTCTGCTGTCCGATGCGGTGCGCTCGATCCTGCGCCTGGAGGTCCTGCAGACCGAGAGCATCAGAGGAGCCAGCTGAGGATGAAGATGAGGAGGATGAGGATGATGAAGGGTACCTGATGAGGGTTCCAGTCGCTGTCAAATATGATGACGGTGTCTGCGCTCTGCAGATTGAGGCCCAGTCCACCCGCTCTGGTGCTCAGCAGGAATATGAAGCACTGAGAGGCCGGATCATTGAAGGTCTTCAGCAGCATCCCACGATCCTCCGCTTTAGTCGTGCCTAAAACACACAAACATCATTTCTAGCACTAGTCTTCTCTGAGTAACCGCTGCCAGCCACGATGATGGAGTCGGCCCGACCGGTTCCCACGTCTTTAG